TTTTTTTTTTTTTTTTTGGTCATTTTGTTGCTCTAAGGAGAGAACTGTCCTAAATGCTACTATGTTTGGAGAATATAAAGTTAAATTTTGGAGATCACTTTTATTCAAATAGGTCATATGCAGAAAAGACCCGATGTATTAATGATGGTTATTCTTTTTTTCTTCCTCCAGAATGAAGGGAATATTTTGATTGCCCAAAGAAATGAAATGCAGCAGAAGCTGTACATGTCAGTAGAAGATTTTATTCTGGAAGTTGATGAGTCATCTCTTAATAAACGCTTAAAAACATTGCAGGTTGGAATTAAAGATATATTAAATATAGTTAAATTGCAAGTTTATTTAAGAAGTGAAATTAGCATTTACCTTAGATTTTAGATTGTTCTGTGATGGTTGCAAACATTTTTCCTGTTTTCTGAATTCTAATTTCTTTTTAATGGGATTAAAAGTTTATATTAATATATTTTGTGGCTACGTATATATGTATATCTATCTTGCAAACAAGGTAAAATGGCTAGGGACTCCAGGCCTGCTACATCTGTATTCACTGGGGAAATTAATGGAGACGGGAGCAGTAGCAGGTATGTGGGTCCCTGTCATCCATTGCATTCTAGCAGAAAATGTAGTAGGACCACGTGTTTGGGGGAGAAGGGATCAACTCTGATCCTTAAACTATAGGGTTTTTAGGCTCCATGACCAGGGAAGTTTCTCCCTGATGTGATCAGAGGCTAGAGTACTGTAGTACATGTAGCTGTATGATATGGTGCAATCTTGTCTTCAGCCCTGTCTTGCCAGCTCAGCAATGACTTTAATTTGGGTTGAATGAACATGACAATGTTAAGTCATTTCACCTAATAATAGTATTTCTCTCTACTTATTCAGAACTTATTTTGTCCTTTAATATTGTTTAAAAATTTTCTCTATAAGTCCTCATGCTTTTTTCTTAATTTAACTTTTATTTATTTATGCTTTTGATTGCTTTTATGAATATTATCTTTTCATTTCCTATTTTTGATTGAATAGAAGAACACTGTTGATTTTTACATACTAATGTTTCGCTGGCAACTCTGCTGACCTCTCTTTTAGTTCTCATTTGTCTGTTGATAGTCTGTGCTTTCTGTGTTTCCAAATGTTTTCATTTCAAATGAAAACATTTGAAAACAATAACTCTTTAATCTTTTCTCTTCTAGTCCTCTTACCTTTTATGTATCTTTGAATTTTTACTGCTTTGATCAGTTACTCTAGTTCTAAGCTGACCAGTAGCTAATATCGATCTTGTTGTGGACTGCAGGGAATAAGCTTGCTAGAAATTTGGAGAAGAAGATATTCAGGGACATCTGGGCATTGTTTCTTTCTGTCCTGCTGGATGAAGATGTAGTTTTGATGATGCTTCACATGGCTTAAGAACCACTGGAGCCCTGGTTTGAAACATTTTCTTAAATGGAATTGCATAAATAGTATAAGTTCTTCCAGAAGGTTGAAGTAAGCCTTGCATATAAAAGGGCAGTAATATAGTAAGAATTTACCTTTCCACAATGCAACTTCTACTTTAACCTGTAAAGGTTTATTTCTTCTCACTGTTAGTAAATGTAGGTTAAGGGTCTGTAATTAAGATCATCTTTAAACCTCTTTTCTAAAGTTCGATGCTAGAAGACTTTTTGCCTTATCTGGCTTGTCTCCACTTCTAGTATTCCCTCAGGTCACCAAAATATTCTTTGAACTTCTCTTTATTTTGCTGAGAAATAGTTTATATTTTTCAAGTATCCAAGAAAGATATTTCTATAATGAAGGTCAAATAAATTAAAGTTCATGATTTCTGATTTCCTCAGCATTTTATTTAGACTTCTTTTGTGGCATACAATACATGGTTGATTTTTTGTGATGGCCTTCTTAAGTTCAAAAAGAAATTATATTCTCAGTTTTCTTGGTGTAGAGTTTTAGATATATCTAAAACTTGCTTAGGTTTTGGTTGGTTCAGTATATCAGTCTTTGAGATATTTTTGTTACATATATCTGAAGTAGATAGGTTTGTCCCTATTTGTCCCTGTTGTTCTTTTGGTTCTTGTTCAAAGTATTTCAGTGCCACATTGTTGGGCGTTAAGGTATTCATGATTGTAATGTATTTAAAAATGTGTATCCCTTCATGACACGTGTTTACCTATGTAACAAACCTTCACATGTACCTCCAAACCTAAACTAAAAGTCAAAAAAAAAATAATGTTTTCTTTTTAGCTACTATGTAATCTTATTTTTTCACTTAGATTTTTAAAAATAAAATAAAAATGTTTTAATTTGCTTTTTAAGTTCCTATCCCACCTTTCTTTGTGGTTAACACTGTAACATCTTTTCTTTTTTTCTTTCTATTTTTATTTTAGTTTTATTTTTGTTGAGATGGAGTCTTGCTCTGTCACCTAGGCTGGAGTGCAGTGGCTGATCTCGGCTCACTGCAACCTCTGCCTCCTGGGTTCAAGCAATTCTCCTGCCTCAGCCTCCCAAGTAGTTGGGATTACAGGCACGCACCACCATGCCTGGCTAATTTTTGTATTTTAGTAGAGATGAGTTTCACAGTGTTGCCCAGGTTGGTGTCGAACTCCTGAGCTCAGACAGTCTACCCACCTTGGCCTCCAAAGTGCTAAGATTACAGGTGTGAGCCACCGTGCCTGGCCTCTCCCTTTATTTTTAACCTTTTGCATTCACGTTTTGAAATGCCCTTTTGATAACACACTAATGGATTTAATTTTGAAAGCACCCAATGTATATCTTTTTTTTGGTAACTTAATTTACGTATTTATAATTACTGTTTTATTAGAACTTATTTCTGTTTATCATGGTTTCTTCTTCTCTCCTTTTCTAACTTACACCTCTAATACTTTTTTTTTTTTTTTTTGAGATGGAGTCTCACTCTGTTGCCCAGGCTGGAGTGCAGTGGCACAATCTTGGTTCACTGCAACCTCTGCCTCCTGGGTTCAAGTGATTCTCCTTCCTCAGCCTCATAAGTAGCTAGGATTACAGGCATGTACCACCATGCCTGGCTAATTTTTGTGTTTTTAATAGAGATGGGGTTTCACCATGTTGGCCAGGCTGGTCTTGAACTTCTGACCTCAAGTCATCCACCCACCTCAGCCTCCCAGAGTGTTGGGATTACAAGCATGAACCACTATGCCCGGCCACACTTCTAATACTTTAGAACATTCTTACCTGCCTTTGGTGTCTTTCCTCTCTTTCTCTGCCTCCTTCCCCA